TATTATATTTGTTGTCATTATTAGTTTTTCTATGAATAAGAACTTTTAAAAGTACATACATACAAAACAGTAATTTTTATTATAAATTTTTCTTTTTAATTAAATAGAAATCAGTGCTCGCAAGAAAAAGTAATTGTAAATGCTACAAATTTCTATAAAACCTTTTGACAGAGTTTATGTATTTTAATTTTTTAAAATTTATTTCATCTTGTTGGCCTCTTTTTTGATTAATTTGTTTTCCTAGTATCTTCCTTCTGGGCCTAGGAGGCTAGGATTCCCTTCTTAGAAACCCTATGTGGTTAGCCTATCTCTGGCTTAGTCTTGTTGGCCTAAGTCAAGTCCATCGGTGGGTTGACTAGGATCTTGGGATAGCTTAGAAATGTTTTTGATTGACCAATTTGAGCTCGAGTTAGTTAATTCAAACTACAAATTAAAATGAAAGTCAACTTAAACTTAAATTTAAATCTAATTAAAAATTAAAATCAAAATTAAATTCAACATCAACTTAACTAAATAAATTAAAATCTAAAATTTAAATTTTGAATTAACTTGAAGATTAATTAAAAGTGGACCCAACTTGAATTTTAAAATTGATTTAACTTAAAATTCAAATCTCATCCAATTAAAATTTAACTTAGAATTTTAAATATAATTATATTTAAAATATTTAAATATTCAATTCAAGTTAATCTTATCACAAACATAAACTTCAACTTACTAGAATCCAAATCATATAAATTTAAACCTTAGATTAACTAAATTTTAAATCAATTTAATTGAAAAATTAATCTAAAATGTAAGATTATGCACCCGTGCGCCCACACACAGAGATGTGTATGTGTGTGTGTCTATATATATATATATATATATATCAAACAAGAGAACGATCGACGAAGAAAAAAATGGAATGAGAAAAATCACACCAGAAAAGAAGAACACAGCGGAACACACAGATTTAAGTGGTTCGACAAATTGCCTTCGTCCACGAAGTTGCAGAGGATTTTACTACTTGAGAAATTTACACTAGTCGATCAACTCAACTTACAAGAGGAATCTCTCACTCTTCATTGCTCTTTTTCTTCTTCTTTCTGTGTTCTTCTCTCTCTATACTGAGATACACCAAAGAAAACTCTTATACATATATATATACATATACATATACATATACATATACATATACATATATATATACATATACATATACATATACATATACATATACATATATATATACATATACATATACATATACATATACATATACATATATATATACATATACATATACATATATATATAGGTCCTCCCTTGCCCATGAGGACAACTTCCCCTTCCTGCCGGTTGTGGTGACATGCCACCCAACCGATGCCTGTCACGAATTTCAAAAGTTTGGCGAATCTGGTGGCGATGCTCTAGCAGTCAACTAAAGGACCTCAACAACATAAAAAATAAGCATGTTTATTTGTATTGTAAAATGAATCAAAATTACAATTCTAATTTGAATTAAATGATACAACCTTGAACTCCGAGAACCACATGACACTAATAGCATTGGGGATATGCTTCCATGAGAGATACAAATGATCGTATATGCTCTCGATGATCTATGTAATGCATGTAACGAGCAACTTATGGTTGATGAATATGGACAAGAAGAATTAGTTGCATAAATATTGAGAATAAGGAACATAATATAATGTTAAATGAAACTTACGAGTCTCTCTCCGATAGGATTGTAACCTCACATGGATGGGAGTTGAGTGGTCAAGCTCATCAGAGGAGGAAGTTTGAGCCCAAGTAGGAGGTAGTACAAAAAGTGGGTGCAGCAAGTGTGACTCGAACTATTTGTTAATGCTCAGGTGTGGCTGCAACAATAGGTGTAGCAGTGGGTGTCGTTGTAGGTGTGGTAGCAAGTACGACATCAGTTGTGGGAGCAGGTCAGGTGTGAGAGAAACAACCCCTTTTTTCTGCTGCTGTAGATGGCCTCTAAAGTGCCCAAAATTGAAACACAAGGCCCCTCAAGTGGTTGGCCATCATCATCACCTGTGGCATTCTATAATAGCAAAAAGACATTAATAAAGTTGTACTTATAGTAAAAATAATCATGAGTAGTATGCACATGTAAAAGAAATATGGTGTATAACCAAAGTGGAAAACATGTAGTAAATACGCCCAAAAAAAAACATCACGAGAAGTTTGACATAAGTATCAAAAGTAAACACAAAAAGATGCAAAATCAAACTAAAACACATTTCACACATCTATGTCTAAAAACAACAAAACTGTAAAAGAAAAGAAAAAAGAACATTAATCCAAACTTACATGTTACTTTTATTTTGTATCATTAGGCGAGCATGTTGTCAATGATGATCTTAAAATTACATTGCAATATATGTGCAATGTAATCAACATCACCTTGGCATTCTGTAATAGGAAAAGACATTAATAAAAGTAGTGCTAATAGTAAAAATAATCATGAGCAGTATACACATGTAAAAGGAGGAAGGTGCATAATCAAAATGGGAAAGATGAAGTAAATACATCCAAAACAAAAAAAAAAAAAAAAAACCAGGAGAAGTATGAGATAAGTTTCAAAAGTAAACACAGAAATCTGCAAAATCAAAGTAAGACACTTCACACATCTATATCTAAAAACAACAAAACTAAAAAAAAAAAAAAACTAAAAAAAAAGGGAAAAAAAGAGAATTAAATCCAAAATTACAGGCTATTTTCTATTTTGTATCATTATTCAAGCTTGTTGTTAATGATGAACTTAAAATTACATTGCAATATATGTGCAATGTAATCAAGCATCACTTTGACAAAAGTGGATGTGCCATTGCATGGGCATAATGAATAAAATGTAAATAGAAAGAGATCCTCTATTAACACAATATATTTGTCATTATACTCACAATGTCTGCTCAACTAAAATTATGGCCATTATGTGAAGTAGATGATTTCACGAGAAACATTTAATTATAGAATCAAGCCCTATGAAAATTTCCTTCTCATATGTCCTTTAACGTCCTTCCTCACCCTCTCATAAATAGTTATTAGGAAAATTTACATACATATCACACAATTCTTATGCATGTACATATCTAACACCCAAAATTTGATATTTATAGTTATAACACTCTGGTGTCTTAAAATTATGCATGAAAATGTGTATTTCAGTCGTGAAAATAATAATAATAATTATTATGATATTTTTGATTTGATGCCAAAGATTTGATATACTCAAACGAATGGATAAAAATCGAAAAAAATATTCCATACAAGCACTTCTTTTATTTTCCGCTCTTACCCTAACTTTAGAAGCTGTTCACTTTTATGCATGGGATATAACAAAGGATGTACGTACAACTCATCATTAGTAGAGAGCTTTTTTCTAACAATTACCATCTAACTCTTAGCTTTTGGAGTGTTTGCCTTTAGCTTAATTGTTTTCCCTTATGTAACTTCATAGTAAACCATGGGTAGAGTTCCAAGGATATAATTGCAATGCTTTAGAAGCTGTTCACTTCTATGCATACGGCTCCTCACGGGATATAACAAAGGATTTACGTACAGCTCATCATTAGTAGAGAGCTTTTTTCTAACAATTACCATCTAACTCTTAGCTTTTGGAGTGTTTGCCTTTAGCTTAATCTAACTCTTAGCTTTTGGAGTGTTTGCCTCTAGCTTAATTGTTTTCCCTTATGTAACTTCATAGTAAACCATGAGTAGAGTTTGGATATAATTGCAATGTATTCTAAAGTCACGTGAATACATCAAAAAATGCCCTCAATAAGCTTTGATCAATACTTCTTCTTCTTCACTGCTCCACACTCATCAATCAATCTTTGTCCCAATCAAGCGTGTTCATATCTACTCTTCTTCGCATGTTGTCAGTTCAGTGCTAGTCTTGGCACTTTATGTCATGATTTCATCATATGAAGCAGATATCATTGATACCTCCTCCAATGAGTTTCTTGCCTTGAGTCCAACATGCCTCCTATCTCTTCAGGAATCCAAATAGTATTTTTAATCTTGTTATGATTCCTAGTTGCACACGAACATGAGACCTTCCTTTATATCATGACTTCCTTCAGTAAGACTAGCCATCTCAACCTCTTTCACGTCTCTATTTGTGACCGTTCTTAGATTTTCTTTTTTATTTTTTATTTTAATTTCTATATGATTTCTTACTAGTTCAAGCCAAACTCTAAAGTAAAGATGATTCATGAATTCCAAATGCAATCCTAATGCAATGAGTTTACTTTGCATTCAAAATTTTATTATATTTCATTATGCCGGTATATATAAGTGAAGAATTTGTATGATGAGTGTTTATGTTAAAGTAAAGCCATAACCTTTGAAACCCATATATCATGATCATTTTTTTTGGATAGGATATTCTCACATAAAAATTATGCAATTTAATAAAATTATAAGATATTATATGATCATTTTTTTTGGATAGGATATTCTCACATAAAATTTATGCAATTTAATAAAATTATAAAGATTTTGAATGTTGTCTACCATTATACAAAATTTTGTTTTTTTTTTTTTTGCTTTTTATACAAATATTTTATAACATTGATTGAGTATTTTATTTTGAATAATTATTATAACCGTGATGTACTTGTAATATCGTCTTAAAATAGAAGGAAGAAAGCAACAGTCTCGAGCTTCACAATATAGCCGTTATAGCCACCAATGAATACAAAAGAGGAAGATTTACATACATACCACTCAATTCTTTTGTATTTACATATCTAACATTAAATTTCAGTTTTTACATATTATGAGCATATCACTTCTAAAATTAAAATATTGGTATTTTTTGTTATGATATGAAATATTTGATGGTATAAATGCAATTATTAAAATTAAGTGTCACATATGTAATTACATAAGAATTGGATGTTATGAATGTAAATAACCAAAAAAAATAAAGGAAATACACTGCTGTGAAAGTTGCCCAATTTGTCCTGGCACGAGGGATTTGAAAAATCGGACCGTTGGAAAGAGCGTCCATATTTTGAATCAACGCTCCATATTTCTTTGCTCAGAAGCCGCTCCATATCCCCACCGTTCCTTCCCCGCAATAATCTCAAGAAGAGAAGGAACACAGCAGGTGAACCCTTCTCAATCATCTATCCCTTCTTCCTATTCATCTTCAATAGATCTCACTGTTGTTGCTTCAGACCTTCTTCCCAAATGAGTGGAAAACCACCACTCGCCGTCTCCCCCCGCCGCCTTCGGCCTCGCCGGCCTCCAACCTCCCTCCCCGCTCTCCGATCCCCAACGGTGAAAGCCACACCAAAACCTCCAGCTCCGTTCCCCACTCGTCACTCCATAGCCGGCGAGCCCCTTCTCCGGAAGAATTGCTCCATCTTCTCCTTTGACTTACCAGAGCCAACCAAGAAAGCCAAGGATGACTTCACCCCCATCCATGATCCCATCACCTGCACCAATCCTCTCTTCGAAAGAGGCAGATTCTATGAGTTATACTCTGCGCGCAGAAACGAGAGGCTTAAAAGGAAGATGATGGAGATCTCAGAGGAGACCGTCGCTCTGTATCCCGAGGTCGCCGTTGAGCTTTCAAAAAAGAGGAGTTTGAAGAAAGCTGAGACGCCGAGGAAATCCTGTCCGGGAAGCTTTTCTGTTAGCCGAGCTAGTAGTTTGAGGTCATCGGCAGTGAGGAGTAGTTATAAGGATGTGAAGAGGGCCTCTGCTATGGGAATATCTTCAATGGCTTCTGTCGATGTTGGAAAGAAGATAATGACTCGATCAGCATTGAGGAAGATTATCTGATCTGAATAATGTTTTGATTCTATTTCTTGCAAGAGATTGAAAAATTGCTTTTTTTTT